AGACTTTAAAAAGAAAACTTGCATTAAAGAAATACATATTGCCAATTTCTCCCAACTACAACTACCTACAAGACCCTGAATTTTCTGCTAGCCACTCAGATTTAAAAAGATAACAATACCATGTGAGCTGTGTGTCCATTCAAGATAGTTCAAATAATGAATATACTCAACAAATGACTTGTGAATTTGCAGAAGCTATCTAGTAAATAATTTCAAACATCAAATGCACTTCAGAAAATTTTCTCTTTCCAAACAATTAACAGATTCTCTTTCCTAAGAAGAACACAAGACTAAATGCAGTTCCCCACAAACAGCATCACAATTATTCTGGTGCATATTTTCATTTGGATACATTTTTTAAGTCTGGGTATGGAATTTCACTTTGTGACATGCTTTGCAAAGAAACAATTTCCAAAAGCCAGAAACATCTAGCTTTGATATGACATGAGAGGATTGTTCATACTGATATTCTTCATAATATCATATGTGCCCTTGCTATCAGTTTACCATTGAACAGCTTGTTACAGGGTATACTTTCTATTGTTGAATGCCAAAATTGGACTTGGTGGTGATTATTTACATTATGTCATTATCTAGAGGTCATGACAGAGTTTAGATAGACGTTTCATTGGGCTCTGTACAAGAACATGGGGGGAGAAAGTACCTGCCCAGAAGAATTAATGTCTAAATAAACGAGTCAGATAAATGGTAGGAGAAGAAAAGTTTTACAGGTTGAACCTCTCTAGTCCTGATGGGTGCCAAACCAGAGAATTTGCCAGATCATGGGAGGTCAATATTGTAGTAAGTGGGTCTCTTTTTATTTCTACAAGGTTAATTAATGGAACAATGTTTGCAAAGCTGCTTAGTAATAAATCACTATACTAAATACACCTATATAAGCCTGCACCAAGCCATGGCTTATCAGCTCTCTTCATAACAAAGTGAAAGGTCACATCTATGCTTATATGCAGATTGAAGGTTGTTCTTCTGGCATTTGATTTAGCAGGTCTAGTAAGGACTCACTAAATCGAACACTGAAGGCACTTCTGTCACCACCAGTCCTACTCCTCACAAGAGCATTTCTAGGGAATGGTGCCAAAGTTCTAATCAAGGTGCATCAATTCCAGCTACTCAATTAATATAGCTGGAGTTCTGTATCTTAGACCTGGACTTAGTGTTATTACAAAATTTTACTGTATTAGCACAAGGAACTAAGTAGATAAAGCATGAAAAACATGCTTCCATTTAGAAGCATTAACAAACTTCCACTGCTTACCGGGCTCTTGGAAGACATTTAGGGGGTAAATTAGAGCTAAATAACAGCACAGAACACTGAGAGCCAGGACTGGTAGCTATAAACAAAAAGACCACGTGGACATCTGGCTAACTAAAATCACGCCAGAGCACATATGTTGCTGGATCAGAAAGTGCTGGACTGGAGAGGTGCAACCTGTATTATCTTTTTTTTGAAGCTGTGGCATTAATATAATAACTTGTCCAAGATTGCATCAGCAATCTGTTGCAAAGTTAGCAACCCAGCTCAGATTTCCTGATGTCATTGCAGTGCCTTGACGTCAGTCTCATCATTTTCCTAAGGGCAGCCAATATCACAGTAACTTCCTGAAAGAGGGACGTATTCAGAAGGGGATTTGAAGCACACTATTGGGGACCTCAAATTCAGGCTTTGTAACCACAGATTTCATTAAAATCTAAGACCAATGGAAATATTTTTATGAATTTTTAAGCAATTATCATGGAAGCCTTTACAACACACACAATTTGCCTTGAAGAGTTTGCAACTTTGTTTTCCTCTTCCATGTTGAGAGGAAAAGTTAACAAATGTCCTAAGTGGTGAAAAATTAGGTTTTTAATAATATCTGTAGTCTTTTTAATGAGATAGGGGAGGAAATTTGCTCTTTAGAAATATGTGAGTTTTGACAGCATCCCCTGCAATGCTGCCATTTATTTTATATTGTTGCCTTCTAGAAGGGAAAGCAGGAGACATGATTTTCCATCCAATAAAATCATATTTGGGTATTTTGAAACTCTTAAAATTCCTCTATCAAGTGATTCAATCCATCTCTCAATGTATGCACCAAAATGTATTAAACACAAATTAAGGCATGGAGTGGAAGGGGGGGAAGACAAGTTAACAAAAAGGAGTTATCCTCCAACCTCGAGTTTCTTTCCCACAGTCACCCTCAAGGAAAAATCTAAAAGAATATGGGCCTTACATCAGTATCATTAATCATGCTATGCCTGAGAGGACATGTATAGAGTTATAATATATTTGAAGAATGAGATTTTCTTAACAGCGAGCAAAGCATTTTGTTTTCCTTGTTAAAGAGTAAGTGGTAAATGAAGAACAGTCATTCAAGAAAAAAGGGTGACTGTAATTTGTGGAAGAATTGTTCCATATCAGAATAGTTTACTTTAAAAAAATAGAAACAAGGCTAGCAAGCAATGCTTACTATGTGCCATCTAGTGACAGATGTGGAAAGTTAGCCTTGCCTACAAGCTAGTCATACTATCCATGCCACTTTTCAGAAAGTAGTCTAGCTCTTGTATTTATAAATAGGCTTTACCTATTCATGTATATCAGTTCTTTACCCCTTTTTCACTAAAATACCGTTTCTAATGGAATGGGCCTAAAGACCTGGGTCTATATAGCTCATTCTAAGCTAGAGCATGTCCAGAGTTTCTGTCGGACTGATTTTATTATGGAAAATGTGGTTTCCACAAACAGAAACTTTCTGTAGAAAAATCTTACTTATGATGAGATTGGAAATCTCACTTATTGATGAGTTTTCTGTTGGAAAACTTAAAATAAAATGTTGGATTTTTTTTTACCTGATCAGAATATTTTGTTTTGTTGAAGTGACCCAAAAAATTTCATTTCAAATCAGTTCAATAAAACACCAACTTGTATTTCCTTATCATTGAATACATTGGAGTTCTAATTTGAGCCCCCATTTTCTCCTATGGACTAAGGTCCTGGGAGGATTATGTCTCTCAGAGATTTCCCTTTGGCCAGACTTTGCAAGGTGCATCACAGGAGTAACATGAGTGTAGATTTGACATGGGAGGTACAATCCAGCCAGGGAGCCAGCCCTGTAAGGGTATGTCTATACTACAAAGGATGATCGAAGCTACCAGAAGCTACTGCTGTTGATCTTCCAGGGTTCAAATTAGCAGTTTAGTTAAAACAGCTAATTTGAAGTGAGAGGGGGCACTCCAGTGGATGCCAGTAACATTGCTTTCACAAGGCGTGAGGTAAATCAAGGGAAGAATGTTCTTCCTTTGACGTCCTGCAGTGTAGACAATGCCAAAAGCAGAGTTAAGCTACTTGGACTTCAGTTACGCCGTTAACGTAGCTGAAGTTGCATATTTTGATTTGACTTTGTCCTATATTGTAGACATACCCTAAGGGACAAATGGAAAGCATGAGATTTCTTAACTATAGCTCCTAACCCATTTCAGTTCTCCAACAAGCCAAACATGAAATATTTTTTTATCACCAAAAGATTTTGTATGTGGAAAATATTCAAGCAAAATGTTTCAGCATTTCCAAATGGAAAAAAGTTGGAAATAATTTTTTGAAAAATTCAGATTTTCAACCCAATTTGGTAGGGAACTAAATGTAGAAATGCTGGAATTTTCCATGGGATGGAAATTCCAAATTTCACTCAGGTCTGCAGATGCTAAGCCCACTGTCCATCCCCTACCAGAAAAGCTTTGGGAAGACAGAATGATTCACTGCAGAAAGCCACCAATCATGATGATTCAAGTTAACATTCAGCATGCTCATTTAAAGGCTTTTGTCTATACTTTAAGGGTACATCTATACTGCACAC